AGACGTTCGGAAGGGGGGGCTATGAGGGGGTCGGGGGTAGAGCGGGGGGGAGGCCACCCCAGACCCCTTATAGCCCCCACTTTCAATAGTCCGGCTCTGCCTCAGGCAACCCTGATTACACCGCTGCTGGTCAGTTTCAGCAGCGGCTGAATCGGGACACCTGGGACAGAGCAGCTGGGGCGCTGCTGGGTTGGTCTGGTAAATGGTACCACTACATGGGATAGTACACCAGAGCCAATAGGTGTGTAGGTTAAATAGACAAGTAGCATCCTCATTTCATAGATGTGAAAACTGAGGCAGCAAGAGGTTAAGCTAGCTACTCAAATTCTCAGATCAAGTCAGTGGCAAGCTCCTAGGCTCTGTCTAAGATGGCCATTAGATTACACTACCCTTGATGGGTGGATGCAGAGTTGGTGAAAGATGCAGTGCCTTCATCCCACAGCTCCACAGAAGGCCAGATTATGTAATGGGCGCAAGCCTAATTTTTTATTTTGAAGAGAGTTTGTCTCACCTTGAAGAATATAGTCAACAAGGAGAGTGTGCAAATGCACAAATCAGTTTGCTTTAGATAAATGAGCACACGGGGCAATCTGATAAGCCTGATATTACAAACCACAATTCACCAGCCAGCTATGCAAACAGGGCAGTGTAAACTGTTTAGAGAGTCCACATACAGCTCTGTATAAACTTTATTTTAGCTTGCCGTATGGAAAGCCCAAAAGTAGCCATCAGCTTTCTTAGGTGAGAGATGCCAAATGCCAGAGTCGACAGAAAACTTCTGTTCCAGACAAACTGTAGAAGGTTGAGTGTCACAGGGCTAAGAAGGAAGAAGATACTCATGTGTCCAGAATGCTTCATGTGTTGAGGGGAGGTCAGGGAATAATGGATTTAGTTAAACTGGAAGACGGGGAAAACCTCCAGTGTGTCTTAGCCAGTGCTGTGAAAAAAGAGAAGGCATTCTAAATCTCCAGGGGCAGGGGAGCTGACAGCCACACTGGACCCAGAGGAGGAGGAGGGGCAGCTCTGCCCTCCTGGAATGGGCAAGGCCTCAAACAGAAGCTGTGGGGCCAGGGCAGCGAGCATGCCTTGCCGCCCTCCCACAACAGGCTTCAGTGTCACCTGGAGCGCGATGCTGCTCCCCCCCACTCTCCTGCCTTAGAATCACCAGGCTCTGGGGCAGTTTCCCTCTTGCCTCCCCATCAGTGGACCTCTCCAGGGGACTGTTCTTACCACTGAGTTTTCACAATGTGGTACGGAAATATATGTAGAAAGCGGCATAGTTGGGGACTCCAACAGTCGTAAGTTTCGTAGCTGTGTCAGACTGACTCTATCTTGCAATATCCTGGACAAACCTTATGGAATTAAAATAAACTTTATTCAACTACATTTACCCATACTGTATTAGAGTTAATAGTTTTGGGGTCCATTTCATTAAAAAGGCAATTGTGGATCTGTTATTGTGGCATTATATGTACTTTCTCTAGTAGGGAGGGGGATGCCAATATAATTCCTTCACTTATCAGCCCTTCAAAGCCACCTCTCTGGAGAATTCCCCATATATAAATTCAAACTGGATTCTCCGGGGATCAGCAGACCAAAAAAAAAAGGGGGGGGGATTTTCAGTGGAAGAGGTGTAGTGAGAGCAGAGAATTCACCTCTACCACTCCATGGATCCCTCAGAGGGCATGGAGGCAGTACTCAGAAGACCTAGCCCGGTGGATGAAATAGTAGATGAAGAGGTTGAGGTAGACAAGGATCAGGGGCACTGGCCATGTGACTGCTCCCTTCCTGTGTCACCCCTAGCCCAGGGGAGGGCCTCTCCTAAAAGGGTGTGGGACCGAAGACAACCCCTGCCCTGCCTTCACTCTTCCCCTCCTTATAGCCCCCCGCTCCTGCTCTGTCCCTCCCTGCCTCTACTCTGCTCTCACTTCACCTCTTCCACCAAGCCCTTGCTCCACTCCTGCCCCATTTCACTGCTCCCCGCAAACTTACTCCCACCAGCGATGCAGCACCAGGAATAGGGGTTGTGGTCCTGCCCCCGCACTCACTGACTGCAGTGGGAAGCAGAGCGACTCAGCCCCAATCTACTGTATTCCCCCAGCTCCCAGCCATGTTGCTCTGCTCCCCACTGCCAGTGAGTGTAGGAGGCAGTTCCACCCCTTCCTGCATGCTCCCTCCTCTAATTGATATGGCTGGGAGCTAGGGGAGCAAAGGGGATTGAGCAGGGTTACTCTGCTTCCTGCTGCTGGTGGTAAGTGTGCGGGCAGGTCGGATCCCTGCTGCTGACATCAGGCTCCCGCTAATCCCACAGGCTACCCAGGGTCCCATAGGGCTCCCCAAAGCACAAGGATGACCTTGCCCCAAACTGTCCAGTGGAAGGGATGGTGCTTCTGGCTGCTAGCCCCTTCCCCCATGGCATTTGGAGTGGGGGACATGACCCTTTGTACCCCCCTCAAGTGTTGTCTCTGGACAGAGGTCTATAAAATCATGAATGATGCGGAAAAGTGAATAAAGAAGTGTTATTTACCTCTCCACATAACACAAGAATCAGGGGTCATCCAATGAAAGTAATAGGCAGCAGGTTTAAAACAAACACAAGGAGGTATTTCTTCACAACACCCACAACCAACATGTGGAACTCCTTGCCAGGAGATGTTGTGAAGGCCAAAAGTATAACTGGGTTAAAAAAGAATTAGATGAGTTCACAGGAGAACAGATCCATCAATAGCTATTAACCAAGATGCTCAGGGATGCAACTCCAAGCTCTGGGGCTCTGTCTACACTGTACACTCATTTCAAAATAACTCAGGTTATTTTGAAATAACAGTGTGTGCATCTACACAGCAAGCCCATTATTTCAAAATTATTTTGAAATAATGGGCTAACAGGCTTCTTACTCCGACTTCTGTAACCCTCATTTCATGAGGAGTAAGGGAATTCGAAGGAAGACGCAAGTAATGTAGCTGAAGTTGTATATCTTAACTTGACTTTAGCCTGCAGTGTAGATGTACCGTGGGTGTCTCTAAATCTCCAACTGCCAGAGGTAGACACTGGATGAGAGGGGATGGATAGTTGCCCTGTTCTTTTCATTCCCTCTGATCCATTTGGAGTTACACTGTCAGAAGATCCTATATACTGAGCTTGATGGCCCATTGATTTGACCCAATATGGCCATAATTATGCTCTTCAAAGAAACACAGGGATAAAGACAGAGGACTAATGGTAGGCAAGAGGTTGCAGGCATGTTCTACTTACAGGATGGTATGGCTCCCAGCCTCTAATACACTGTACAGGGGCTCCTTATCTGTCTGTAGGAAGAGGAAGAATTAAGCTTGGAGCCACAATCACAAGCAGAGATGAAATCTATCAAATAATCTCTGTTAAATTGCTGAATAGAGTTCTTACACCCCTAAGGTTCCAGCACATTTGGGGGGGGGGGAGAGAAGACCCCTCTCCCATGGATGAATCAGAGATTAAGATGTATATGTTATATTTTAAAGGACAATAGTGAATTGGCAATGCCTGAAAGCTAATGGAGACATTTAGGGGAGAAAAACTGGTGCACACCTTTTAATTCGATTGAAATGCACCTGATGGGGAGAGCTTTGGGAGGAACAGAGGGAAACTGGACAATACTTTGCTTATAAAATAGGAACTGACCAAAATACAAATAATATTCTAAGTACTAACTGCTGACACTGGGTGCTACAGCACACACAGAAAGACAGCTGTGTTTACAATCTAGCAAGGACTGGATTTAATAACCAAACAAATGTTTCACAAGTGACATGCTAGTTATGGTGGTCTCTGGGTAGTGTAACAGAACTGCGTCCCTACTTCCCTCTCCCCCATCCTAGGGCCACCTGCTCCTGCTTAGAAATTTCCTCACCAGGCTAGCCCCAATGGCAGTGTTTTTTCCGTACAGACTAACTCAGCTATCCTCTGAAGCTTCCCAATGGCAGTGTTTGTCTCTAGTTACTTTCTGCTCAGGGGATCCCTTTTGTCCCCTCCCTTCCCTTAGTCAGGTATAGAGGGGAGTGACTTGATTTTTTTTCTCTCAAGGAGTTGGGTTTCACTTCCTGCCCCGGATCTCCTTTGTCTCTTCCTGCCTGAATGCTGCTGAAGGGCAAACCTAAGGTGGAGGTAGGAAAGGGGTTAAAGGTGGATATGTTCAGAGGAAAGGGAAACACCCTACACTACTAGGCTCTGAGTCAGTTTCACCAGAAACTCTCCAGGTGGTGGAGGAGAGAAAAGCAGAGCACAAGCACCCAGTGCCTACTGGGAGGGGGGAAGTGAGACCCCAGAGGGGAGAGGGAAGTTAGACAAAGCTATAGAAACCTGGGCTGGAGCCCCCTAGCTCAGCTACTAAGCAGGCAAAGGACTGGGCTGTGCTCCGCGAAGGCGAATCAGGAGGCGTCACCCATCCACCTGGAACCCAGGGGGCGAGGAGAACATCCGGGGCCGGCGCACTTGGAAAAGGTTGGTTTTATATTAATGATGCTTCGTTAATAAGTTAAAGGGAGGGAGCAAAAGACCGGGGCGAAAGGGAGACTGCAGTAGCGTGTCTAAGATCCAGCCAGAGAAATAGTCACTGGGCAGCCCTTTAACTCCTCTTCTCACCTCCTCTCTTAGCGCCCCACCCAGGAAGCTCGGAGCCTGCAGAAGGGAGAAAAGAGTTAAGATGGCCAGCGGCAGAGCCCTGCTCCAGGCTGGACTGCAGCTCCAGCCAGCTGATCCAGCTGCTGACGGCCGCCGTGCTGGGGCAGGAAGAAGGAGAGGAGGGAGCCTCCTTTGGCGAAACCTGCCTGGCCCATTTCACCACAGGGATGGCTGACTTCGTGCTGGACACGGACGCCTCGGTGCAGAACGGGGCCACTTTCCTGTTATCCCCCCCTCACAAGCGGGGCAAGGAGTGCGTGCGGGCTTGCTGCAAGCACCCTCACTGCAACCTGGCCCTGGTGGAGCAGGACCCTGCCGGGGGGGAGGACAGCATCCAGGCCTGCTTCCTCCTGGACTGCCTCTACGAGCAAACGTTTGTCTGCAAGTTTGCCAGGAAGGAGGGCTTTCTCAACTACGTCAAGAGGGAAGTGTACGATGCCTATGTGGACATGCGGGAAGAAGGACATGGTGGTAAGCAAACAACATGGGACCTAACGCCTTGGGGGTGTTTTTATTGATCTCCGCCTACGGCCTCCTCTCCCCCTTCCCTTGCGAACAGCGCGGCCGTGTTGGCGGAGTTGGAGTAGGAGTCTGAGAGTTAAGGCCCTCTGCTGCTCATTCTCTCTGCAACTTCAGTTAGATGCTCACCTTCTGTGCCTCCGTTTACTGGAGGAGAGATGGGGTAACGCTGTACTCTGCGGAAGGGGCTTAATAACGAACCAAAAATGTTCTTGGTGTGGCAGCAAAAAAGAGTAAGACCTGGTCCTTCTCACAAGGAACTTAGATTAGGAACTGAAATCCCATTACATCCAAACATTGTAATGTTTTGAAGCAGGGTTCACTAATAGCTGGATTGTGAAGGGGGCAGGGTGTTGCCAGTGAAGGCGTTCTCAGGTATGGAATCCACTTCCACTGTCTTGGAACCACTCGTGTGTGGTAAGGCTTCTATTTTTCTAGACTTTTGGCTTTTGAGGGCAGGAGCAAACTAGTAGCTGGGTGGGTAGGATGGGAGAACTTGACTTGGGTGGATTTCAGAGGGGCTTTTATTTAGATTTTGGATCCTGTTTAAGTCAGTGGTTCTCCAAATGGGGTCTGCGACCTTCTTACAGGTGGGCTGTGTGCATAGGGCTCATTCCCCCTCCACTGGAGGGGGGAGCCTGTACTGGCGCTCCAACTTCCTGCTGCGTGGATAGGGGGAGCTTTGTGGGCCAGATCCGGCATGCGAAGGAAGAAAGCAGCTTTGTGAGCTGCTGCTCCCCCTCTCCCTAGTTAGGGGAATACAGCACATGGAACCAATCATCTGGAGGCTTGTCTCACTGCTCCCATTGGCCAGCATCACAGCCAATGGGAGCAGCAGAGAGTGATGTCTAGGACAGAGGTGTAGTGAGATTGTTTGTTATGCAACCAAGGGCAAAGGCAAAATCTTTTCCCCCTTCCCCGGGCCTTTTCCTGACAGTTTTGAACCTGGTGCATGGCTGAGTCCGACCCTGGGAGGAGGGGGCGACTTATATTGCGTCTTCCCCCCACCCCTTCCAGGTTGAGGCCAGGATCCTGCATGCCCTAACCCTCTAGTGGAGATGGAGAAGAGTCAGGCTGGGGGCGGAGAGGCAGAGAGGGGTCTCCAGCTGGTGAGTGGAAGAGGGGTGCCCCCCCAGCATGGCACCCAGAAGCAATGGTACGTGGGGGCAACTCCCTCCCCCCCCCCACTCACTACGCCACTGAGCTCTTCATTCTAAGACCACACACACACCCAGTCTATGTCTAGACTACACTGATCTATTGGAAAAAGCTAAGCAAATTGCACTCTGCAATTTGCGTACCTTTTCCTGACAGTTTTTTTGGAAGAGCCCTTCTTCCTCGCGGAAGGAGGAAGACCGGGTTTCTGAAAGAGTGCATTTGCTCTTCCACAAAAAATGTTGGAAGAGCAGATGTGTTCCCCACTGGCCTGAAAGCAGCATCCCCTCATGCAGCTCTTCATTCTAAGACCACACACACACCCCCAGTCTATGTCTAGACTACACTGATCTATTGGAAAAAGCTAAGCAAATTGCACTCTGCAATTTGCGTACCTTTTCCTGACAGTTTTTTTGGAAGAGCCCTTCTTCCTCGCGGAAGGAGGAAGACCGGGTTTCTGAAAGAGTGCATTTGCTCTTCCACAAAAAATGTTGGAAGAGCAGATGTGTTCCCTGGATGCGGCCGCATTTTTCCGAGATATCTCCAGTATCCTGGAAAAAACCCCATAGTGTAGACCTAGCCCCAGCCTGCTTCTGCAACCAACCTCTTGATCATCTACACACACACACACACACACACCCCTCCTGCACCCAGCCTCGTGGTCTGTGGAAAGGTCTGTGTTGAGTGGGGTTTGGCCATTGGCCAAAAAGTTTGAAAACCACTGGTTTAACTGAAGACTTTATAAAGTTATATCTGTGCCCAGAGCACTCGATGGGAAGCACTTTTCATAAAGTAAAATCACCTATAGTTGGCCTCATGTAACACATTTTGAAGTCTCCAAGTGAAAGGTACTATGGACAAAGTATGTGCAAGTATTAAGATACATAGCCAGGGTTCAACAATATATGTAATCTACTCGTCCATGGCGAGTAGATTATATCCTGGAAGAGCTAGGTTCGGGCGATCTGCGCATGCGCAGAACGCCGGACAGTGCGGCTGGCGAGTGGGGCTCGCCGCGGCTCGGCGAACCCTGTACATAGCTATGGGACTGGTGCCTCTCTTTCTCATCTTCAACCCCCAAATATCTTACAGTGCTGGAGTCTGATAGTTGGGACAGGTCTCTGGTCACTACTGGCTTTTAATCTATGAGGTTTGTATCCAAGAAGTTGGTACATTTCAAGAGGCTGTTCTGAGGTTGACTATGTTGCTCTTCCTTTTCTCCCCTCCCAAAACTGCTGTGCCTTGGAAGGGGTGGCTCTATTAAGAGTACCAGTGTGGAAGCTGTATAGGCAGGTAGTTACGGGCTCTCCTGGGTGAGTTGAGAGATCCCTGATGCCAGGATTACTTACTGGAAGTTGCAGGAATACCAAAAGCACCCCATGCTGGAAATAGAAGTGCAAGAGCAGGGAAATCTGGAATTGACTGGTCTGCTATCTGAATGAGACAAGGCAGAGGAAGGAGTTCAAGGGGCTGTAGCTACCTAAACAACTACTAGTAGTCATCCCATGCTGGGCCTTGAATGTTACAGCCTCTCATTGCTTCTCACAACTGCTAGGATGTCTGTCTCTTTTCATTGTAAATAGACACATCAGTTACCACCTCTAGAGTTGCCAGGTGTCTGGTGTTGAACCAGACAGTCTGGTATTAGAGCTTTCTCTCCGGGAAACAAATTGAGAAAATACCTATTATTTATTATTATCATGAGTATCAGTATGTAGTTGTGTACTGCCTGGCTGGTAGACATGCTCACACTGTGTGAGTGTGTATACCAGCCAGGCAGTATGCAACTACACAGTAGAGAGGAGGGGGGTGAGGGTTGGGGTAGGGCCGGGGTGGGATGGAATCCCCAGAG